AAATAGGCAAGGTTTCCCTATCCTGGGAAAAGATAAGGGGCTAGGACCTACACCACCCAAAATCCCCCCGCCCAGAGGGGGTGGGCGGGGGGAATTCTGGGAGTTGAAGTCCATGCCTCTTAACATTGCCAAGGTTGAGAAACACTGATCTATGAATTGGTTGAATCCTATTTTTAAAATCCTCCAGATTAGTGGCCATCAGTTGTGAAGGCATAGTTGAATTCTGTATTCCAAGCATAGTTACACAAGGGGCACAGCTACATTTGCAGTTTTAATTTCAGTCCCTTTCTTAATCATTCCTAACCTGTGACTCACTTTGTTTTTTCCCTGTGGCTGCACACCAAGAGGATATTTCCATGAGCTCTTTGCTACAACCTCAAGAGCCTTTTGGTCAGTCACTGCCAACTCAGACCTCATTATTGTAAATTATGTGTGATAACTGCTCTGTTCATACCGAACATACTAGTTGCCTGTCGCTTTTGGTTACGCTATCACAAATGCATTTATTTGCCTCTAATGATCTAATAACCTACTCTGGGGAACTCCTTGTTCTCTGAATCTGTATCCGCAGGATGAGAGAAAGTTTATTTTCCCCCAAAGAAGAGGCCCCTGCCACGAGATCCTTTTGGTCTTGTTTGGAGCAATGCTGTTCTTCCCAGAGGTTCTTGTTCTGTTGGAGGGCAGAGGACTGTTACCACTGTGGTGGTATGGCCCATTCCATTTTTAACAGTTTCCCCCACCAAACCCTGTCTTTCTCAGCTACTGCAAATCAGCCGCTCTTATTTGGCAGCTATGGGGTGAGACGGCAAACATTGGCCAAGGCTTGGGGACAGCTAGATTCCTGTGGGCTTCCCAGAGTTGCTACATTTCCATGAAATTCCTGCTTTGATTAGGAAAGTAGTCAACCATCCTAGTCTTCTATATGGAATGCAAACAGAGACTGTCAGGGTGCCTGTACAACACATGGCTGTCTTTGGAGTTGAAGGGGACCAAAGGCTAAATTAAAGTACAGATAGTCCTTGCTTAATGATTGCTCATTTAACGATGGTTCAAAGTTACGATGGCCTCGGAAAAAGTGCTTTATGATCTGTACTCGCACTTACAACCATTGCAAATCATTGCACCACCCCCTGCAGTCACGTGATCTCAGTTTGCGACCTTTTTTACTACAGTCATTAAGCGAATCACGTGATCATTAGGCAGATTCCGGCAAAAAAGTCAGTTGGGGAAGCTGGATTTGCTTAACAACCATGTGATTCGCTTAATGACTGTCATAAAAATGGTCATAAAATTGGGTCCAGTCGCATGGTGACTCACTTAACGACTGCCCCTTAACAACCAACTTTCCAGTCCTTATTGTGGTCATTAAGCGAGGACTACCTGTAATGGGAGAGAAACAAAGCCTTTGTTCCTTGTGGATTGTCCTCTTTCTTCTAGCCTCCCTGCATATTTCTGTGGGAGGATCAGCATTTTCAGGAACCAGATTGGGTCTTACCCCTCACTCCTTCTTGTGAGAATTGCATAATGCCTTGCCATACTGTTAGAAAGCGGTGCCAGTCCCTGCACATGTTTCTCAGGGCCATCTGTAGTTCTGCGTGAGAG